GAATGAAATTATTGAAGGTTGTGCCGAGTGAATTGATAAAATGCGCTCGCACCTATTTGCGTAGCACAGCCAGGAAGTAGCTTCAAAACGTGCTAAGTGTTCGATAATGAGTTTCTGTCGTCTTCTTTCCTCTTTCGTTTCGTCTTTGAACTAATCTACGCTCATCATTCAGTTTCGATTTTCGTATTATTATCTTCCATCAATCCCCCTCTCGATTTTCTCGTTTCTCTGTTAACGTTGTCGACTGGAAATTTGTTGCTACCTTCACCTCCATGCAGCCAAGTTCGTTTGTTTTCGAGAGCTAATCGTTCTCCCCGAGTAATTGGTTTCTCCTTTGGCTCGTTTCCTTTTCACTTTCCCGCCGGCTGCGTAGCTTCTTCCTTTCGAGCGTGTACACACACCGTCCGCGCAAATTACGAGTTAGAAATTGAGCGTTACTGATTAAGGGCGGAAGAGATAATAGGCAGGAGCGCGTTCGAGGATATTGTTAGCCATAATGAGATACCTTAAATACCTTCTATGAACGGCCGTGTCTTCCGTGAACGGAGCTGGAATCCTCGGAGGAGGAACGATCAACGGAGGAATGTCGAAAGGTCGTCGCACGGCGACGCACGAATCGAAGTAATTTACTACGATCATAATCTAGCTGTTCGTTCCACGCGCCCGCAAAACCCAGGCACCGTCCTCATTGTTCGCAAATGAGAATTTGTTTGCCGGTTGGTAACCGGTCGTTCGTTACGACATTCCACGCGTGTCACTTATAAATCCGACATCCGTTATGCGGTTCACATACATCTTCACCCGCCGGCTGAACCGTGGCAAACTGACGGACCGCTGTTTCTATTCGATCGCGTCTCGTCAGACTTCCGCCAAATGAAGAAGAAATGTCGAGCGAAGCTCGGAATCCTTGAAGGTTCGAGATACTACAGGAGAAGAAGTCGTTAACCACTTGCGCTGGCAACTGGCGGACCGTAACGAGTGACCAAATCGTATGTTCAATAATTCGTCCCTTTCGTTTTCTTTTGAACTCGTCGTCGGTGTGATATCACTGGATAGAAATTATCGAGAAGTAATAAATTTATTATTCGTTTCGCTTACTTAAATATTAACTTAAAACTGAGAAAATAGTGCAATTTTGGGACAAAAAATTCTCGATATGCGTGGCACGTTATTCCAGCGCAAGAATGACCAAACCGTACACAATAATTCGTCGCTTTCTTTTTGAACTCGTCGGTATGATATCACTGAATAGAAATTATTGAGAAGTAATAAATTTATTACTTGTTTTGCCTGGGTTATACTTAAAACTGAGAAGATATTGCAATTTTGGGACAAAAAAATTCTCGACGTACGTAGCACGTTATTCCAGCGCAAGTACTACTTGCGCTGAAAATCGATTGCGGACCATAACGAGTGACCAAATCGTATGTTCAATAATTCGTCCCTTTCGTTTTCTTTTGAACTCGTTGTCGGTGTGATATCACTGGATAGAAATTATCGAGAAGTAATAAATTTATTATTCGTTTCGCTTATTTAAATATTAACTTAAAACTGAGAAAATAGTGCAATTTTGGGACAAAAAATTCTCGACATGCGTGGCACGTTATTCCAGCGCAAGAATGACCAAACCGTACACAATAATTCGTCGCTTTCTTTTTGAACTCGTCGATATGATATCACTGGATAGAAATTATTGAGAAGTAATAAATTTATTACTCGTTTTGCCTGGGTTATACTTAAAACTGAGAAGATATTGCAATTTTGGGACAAAAAAATTCTCGACATGCGCGTCATTCCAGCGCAAGAGGTTAAAGAACGCAACAGATCCACGACAAAGATTTATAGGGCAGTGTTGCGAGTTTCCTGCGTAAAACGTCTCACACCTGTTGATACTTCCCTTGGCGACAAATGGACCGGTTGACGCGGATGGTACGAGACGAGACGGCGAACAACGGCGAGCGGTCGCTGTTAGAACGACGCTTAACAACGCTCGACGAGGAAACGTTAATTAACTGAGAAGATTTCGCGGGATAAAATTCCAAAGGGTGGTCGGTGGAAGCAGGTCGCCCGACGACGGATATCTAATTGTAACCGGGCGAAGCGCGGAGTTACTAAGATGGTCAGGGCCGTAGGCAGCCTCGGGGTCAACGGCCAGGCGGCGCGGCGCCTGAAAGATCCTTCATCGGCTGAATGCGAGATAGTGGGGCAGGTCGCGGCTGCGAGTCCGGGGAAAGAGGGAAAAGGGAAGAAAAGAGCTGACACGGGAGAAGAGAGCATTGCTGAGTCGAATGGTAGATACGCGCGAATCGTCAAATGGAAAACGTCGTGTTTGGTCACTTTGGCGACTTCTCGATTTTTCTCCATTGCCGATTGCTCGCCATCGGACACAACAAGATACTGTTTGCTCGATAATCGTTAAAACAAGCGGGATCGAGGATCGTTGATCAAACTGTTTCCTGACAAATGCAATTAAGTTCCATGACTCGGGAATCGCGACCGGTGTTTCCAGAATATTACAAAAAACTTGGCTGTCGATTGTAGTTCTCAAGTTCGTTCAATCTTGATCGTCGCTGGTTGACGCTGTGTGACACGGCGATAAGGTAGAAAGCGAGGCTTTTAAAAAAAGCATAGGAAAGATGACGGCGACGATGATGAGGATGATGATCGCGGTGATGATGGTGATGGCGGTAATGAAGAAAGAGTTCGTCACGGCGCGATGAACGTGCGCGCGCACGCCACTTCTAAGTAACAGCGAGCCTCTTTCCTCCTGGAATCTACAGTGTCCATGATCCCGCTTGATGTTAATATTCTTTGGATTGTTTCAAAGCGGAACGAGTCCTCGGGAGTAGTATAGATTCCACGTCATTTCTCAGGCACACGAATTAAAGTTTTTTGTTAACAATCGTTCTTAACAGCCATCCGAGGTTCGTTGTTCAAACGTAGCACCTTGCGCGAATCAACGTTGGTCTCATTCGAATTTTCCAGCCGACGACCGGCGATATTTATGAAAATAGAAGAGAGAGATTGGTTCATCGGTTTTTGACGTGATTCTAAAATTAAAATATTAGTACACACCGATGATAATGCGAATCCCTTGCGTAACTTGCTTCCATATGTCCCCTTTGTCTCGATGCGCGAGATGTAATAACAATACGTGTGACAGTTTCCCTGTGGCAGCGTGTACACCGTACGCAGCCCCTAAAGCCACCAGTTTTATTGTTTTCAGAGATAATCGGGATTCTTTCGCGCGCCGTAAGGTGTGCGTGACACAGAGGTAATTAGGTGCGCGCGAGTTATGCAATTAAATATACGAACATACCCGATGATTTAATGGTTGTTGAACTTTTCGCGCGAACCATAATGGACGGTTCTCGACGCCCTGTGCTTTCTAACAACGTTTCCGGTCACCCGACAATTACACTTTCGTTCGTTCGATCTTCCGTTTGCTCCGTTTGTTAGCCACGAATAATCGCCATTATTCGAAACGTTCGTTTCGCGAGAAGAGTTCACGCGCGCGCCGCTCTAACTTCTCATCGGTAGGCCAACACGGAAAACGCGTAAGTACAGGCGATCGTGTATCTTTGCACGATCATGTTTCAACTGGTATCCAACGGAACGGATAATCGACGATAGCGCTGAAGCCCAAGCACTTCCTGAACCCGACGATTCGTAATTTTCGCGAAGTAACGACGCCGCGCTGGTGCGAGTATCGGCAGGCGTTATGCCTCTCCGGCATTGAACTCACCGACATCGAGCGCGCAGCTGCGTGCGCGACTTTCAAGTTCAAGACTTTCGAAATCCGTTTCACGGTACAAATTTACACGCGTACTTGTTTAAAAAAAAAAAAATATTCTTCGTACGTATGCCTGTATCGTTAAGATTTGTTCGCTTTACTTGAAAGTTTGTAAATTTTCTTTTTTCTTTTTTTTTCAATTCTTGGTCGGAATTTGACGCGACATTACCTTATTCGAATTTACGTATTGTGAGGCTGACGTGCTGTTCCGAGGGTCGATGGACTTCCGACTAGTCGAAACAAGGTACCAGCATGAATATTCGGCTGGTGTCGCGAGCCGACACGAAATCATCCGTTTATCGGGAATACAAACGAGTGTCTGCCTACGGCTCGAAATATCCGAATCTATTCAAAGCATTTCTCTTCCCTTTGTGAAAACATTTTACCTGGCATGACACGACAAAACGATTCAGTGGCTGGATCATTGAAAATTATTCGATCGATTTGAAACACGTTTCGCCTTTCCATACAATTATTCACGCGGCCTGGCGTAGCTTGTAACAAAATCGTGAGTAACGTCTGTCGAAGAAAAAGTCCATTCTTCGTTTGCGATAAAAACAGATCGGTCTCGATCCACGAGCAGCGTTCGATGCTCGCAGTTTCGTTCCTAGTTTTAAAAGGTAATTGAAGTGTGCTGGCGTGGCGAAACAAGCGTGACGGAGGAACAACGTTTCGGTTTTATGCGCGATATTACGGGCCTTGGACGTTGCTCAACACGGCCCTGACTTTGAACCGCGTTTGCTCGACTCTCACCGTGGGAATGGCGACCACGAGGCATTGCGCCGATCGCACGTACGTTTATTTTCCCGCCTCGATCGATCATCGCTCGCGTCCGATTAAAATCAACCGATCCTTCGATCATCCAATCAACCATCGCTCTTCGCTCTTCTGGCAATATTTTACAATCGGGATCTTCTTGCGTTATGTTCGACGTTCGTAACCATCCAAACATATATCCAAAACGTATCCCTATCTATTCTCACACAGGTAGGAGCCACCTAATTGACGAATACATATTCGAAAATAACGGCGAGGAAGATTCTCATCGGGTGAATAACGAACTTATTATTCTCCGTCCTCGCGGTGAGCGTTGATCGATCGTTGAACTGTGGCGAACTCTCAACAATTGGATGTCCCTTATCAAAGAAGAATCTTCGTCGCCGATGCGTTCGAACATTTATTCCACCAGTAGACATTCCGCACGTACCTTTGTCAGAAATCCACTCGATACCAAACTTGGCTCTTCGGTTCACCAGTTCTCTCTAATCACTCTCGGTTATCACTAGTTTCTCCAACTTTGTCCCGAAACTCCGCGAAACCGGAGATCTTTTGGAAGGAGATGAAGGAGGAACGACGGAGGGATGATCGAACAAACCTTCACCGAATTTTCGTTCACCGGGCGATCACACACGACGGAACACTTCCTTCCACGAACGGACGGACGGACGGACGGACGGACGGACGGATAGATGGAAAAAAAATCAACGTTCCTAATGGCTGGGCTGTCGGCACGGCTCTGTCTTCGAGGCGGCGCATCGAGCTCACTTTATAAACGGTGCTGGCCGGGTGGTGGTCGCGTTTGCTTGCCGGTTAAACCTGCAAGACGATTGGACGAGTTCGCGTAAACAGGCGGCGCGATTGGCCGCGAGATCTAGCGGTACCGCGGCTCCATCCAAGGGGGATCTCTCGCTTCTTCGTGGCTACGACGTTTCCGTGCGTCTCTGTCTTCTTCTTTCTTCCTCTTCCTCTCCGTCCTTCCCTTCTCTATTTTCTCCCTTTCCTCTACAGATCCAGTACAGGCTAGTTACTTCGCGTAATTAGGGAACAGTGACATTTTACCGTTTTTTTTCTTCCACTCCTTCTCCTTTCGTCCCTCTAGTTTTCTTCTCCTCTTCTTTGTATCTCTCGCCCTTAGCCGCGCGGCGGCAGCCGCGTTAATTGCTTCTAAATCGTTCGCCGAGCGATTTGCTTTCCAATGAAATGCTCGCTCGTTCGCCATAAACCGACCATCGGTGAGAATTCCAGAAACACGCTCGGTCGCTCGTCTTTCTCCATCCACTGTCACTTCGGCTTTTGATCTCGCTTTGGACTCGATCACGTTCAGGTGAAAACGGAGAACGTGTTCGATCGACGCGATCTTATTGAGATGGCTGATACGTGCGCGCGTTTCGCTATCGCGATATCATTTCGCTGTCGCGGAAATGTCATACTGGCTTCGTTTCACAAAATGAGAAACGAAGACGAAGCGGAGGGACGGATCTTTTGGACCGAAGATCGATTGGAAGATGGTGGGTAGAATGTGTCGAGAAACCGCGACCAGGAAGCGCGAGCAACGCTCGTACTTGGCGGCGTAGGGTCAAGTCGAGGCAATAAGCGAGATTAATTCGGCGTCGGTCGGCAAAAGCCCTGGCATGGACAAGTTCAACGATGAAGACGATAGCTTGTCGTGCGACGCGACGCGATCTCTGATTAAAGGCCGCGAGTTTTTGCAATTCCGCGCGGCTGCATCCGCTGGCTGCTGTAATAAAACCGCACGGTATGCTCGGTTACGCTATCCCCGGATGTCAGCTTCTCTTAGAGCTTCTACAGTTTGTGTAGACTCGATCGTTGGACAATAAAAAAAAAAAAAAGAAAAAAAAACGAATTTCTTTCTGTTGGAACGTTTCGATGTATTTTTGAGAAGAGACTTTGGAGTAGATCGTTAGCTATATTTTTGAACTGAGAGACAAATTTACATTAAATTTTAAAAATTCGAGACATTTAAAGTAACATTGTAATTTCGTAAGAAGAAATCATACCGCAATCCACAGTTCTCGATTCATTTTTCACAAAAATGTTTTCATGTCCGAAAATTCCACGAAGTTTTACAATCTTCAACTTTTGTTTAATTTTACTCTTCAAAGTTCAATAACTTCGAAAAAAATTATACAGCAAATTTTAGAGGATTATTTTAGAGAAGGTTTCAAATTTCAAATTCATAGTAGATTCAGTCATGAAAAAAATTTTTCAATATTTTAAGGGACGTTTGAATTTGTCTAGCATTTTCGAGGAAAAACAGTATTTATATTTTTCTGTTTACTAAATAACATAAAAACATTTTTATGAGAAATAAATTTAGGATTACGAAAGTAGAAGCTGCACGCTTTACAATGAATTCAGATTTATCGTTACGAAATTATAACGATTTAAATATCGTCAATTGTTGGTAAATTGATTACCAAATATTGGTAATTTAGTGTATGTAAGTTTGTGACCATCATTGTACATTTCTATATTATATATTTTAATTATTTTCTTTATTTCTTTACGTGAAATTTTCTTAACATCTCCAATGCAGGATGATTTTTAGAATTCCATTTTCAGAATGGAACAAAAAGTTTTTTAATCCATTTTCTTGCTTAGTTACTCTTTAAAATTATCACTAATTAATGAACATTATTTAATTGACTGATATTTAAACATTATTATTTAATTTCCAAATTATTAATTTAATGGGAAATATTTAAAAAAATAACGATGTCCATACATGTATTCATTTCGCATGGGACGTGTTAATGTTTTAGGATTTCCTCAGCAGTTATTTAAACAGGCGTTGATTATTATTATTTACGGCTACAACACAGTGATTATTTTAATTTTAATTTTTTAAATTTTATTTATAGTACGAGATAAAAATACTTTAATACAAAGGATACAAGATAAATGTGTAGGATAAAAATTAGAAAACATAATCTCTCTATATAAGTGTATTAATATATATTTATATAGAAAGTGTAACTTGTCACACATATAATAAATTTTATTAATAATACAATTTGACAGATGTGCAAAGTCAAGTGAGTTAAATATGAAAAACAGAGAGTAAGAAATTAATTAATAATAATTTATAAATAAATGATCATAGTTAATAAATAATCAACTCAAACTGGCTTAATTAAATCCAAACGCGTTATTTTTGAAATATGTAAGAGAAGAAGAAAATGAAGTTACGTAAATTTACTTGTGTGGTAATTTTGACAATCGAAGAAAATGAATCAGAATACTGTAAGCGAAGGCCTAAATGATGATGGATGATGCATAAGATGAATATGCAAGTGAGTCGTTCAAAATGTTGGCCTTCGTAAATGGAAATATAAGAAAAAACGTCGATTGTTAAGAACATTTTTCAAAATTTTCCTTGATGTTTAAGCTGTGTTCATAAACTGAATACACTCGCGAAAACAATTTGCTTTTTAAAATGTTGAATATTAATTATGCAGTTGAATAATGAAATTGAAACCTACGCAAGAAATCGTTGAAATAGCTTGAAAAAATTTTAAGTAAACCTGTCTTTATAGAGTTGAACTTGAAATTCGAACCAGTACTATAAATTATTACAATCGATATTACAAGTCGAGGGTGTTAATTTTAGACTCTTCATTGCCCGTTTTTATTTACGATCAAAGGAGAAGAAAGGGCGAAATCGATGATGGTCGAGAGATTCCATGCATATGTACGTACATACGTGTATTCCTTGGAAAGTAGCTTTAGACAAATACAGTTGTTTCAGTAGCATCAGTTTACTGCTAACAAGACTATTAAGCAAATCGGGAGGGAAGCGGTCGGTTTACAGCGGTGTTGCGCGTGCACGCAACTTCCACTAATAATTTCCATTCAAAGAAATCGGCCACTAAATAAACATAACTGTCGCTAACGAGCTATCTTACAGTGCGAAAGCCGTTTTCTTACGATGACGACCACAGCGTCCAACGATCGTCCACCGTCACCTCTGACCGATCCTCCCGCCGTGGATGTCATACTCGCCGTGAATATCCTAACTGCACTATTTACGAAGATACTAACCGGCTCTTGGAACTCGTGATGGCCCCTGATGACAATCATCGATCCATAAAACTATTATTCCGAAAAGATATTCTCGAAGAAGATATTTCAGTCCCTAGATAGGATCCATGGCAATGCAACGCAACGATAACTACACTGCTGGAACTCTACCACGCGATGATCCGGTTGAGGATCCAACTGCTAAACGTCTGTTCCTTCGACGTTTCTAGAAACGAAAAGGTCAAGCTCAATGTTCGAACGCAATATCTGTGTTCTTAGTCGGGGAACACGTGTTGGTTCTGCGGTGATGATACGACGACAAGATTTATACCCAGTTACGGCTGGTTGACGAGTCTGCTGCGCGGATGGAAATTTATTAGGATCGCAATTTACCTTCGTACGATCGATTTCGAGGGGATCCGAGGGAACCTAGAGCAGCGATCGAACGAACGAATCGGACAACGAGTCGACCTTGATTTACGACTTGATTCCGACACGGTGTATCTGGTTCACCAGTACCAAGTCTCCTTCTGCTCGTTAGCCGTGCAGGTGGATCGTTAACAGACGTATATGTCATAAGAGAGCCATGACGCAGGAGTATGCATAGCGCATACGATCCTGGCGTTGGGATATTTATGGGGCGGGAAAAATGTTTACGCCGCGACGTAACCGTGATCGTAAACCACTTTAATTCGAGGGGAAATTTTCTCTGTGCTGCAACACACGGAGTCACGGAGCTTCGTAGACGTAGGCTCGTTACGCTTTTGTCGGATAATGGTTTTTTCTTTCTTCTACGAAACGTCAGGAGAGCAGATCGAAGCGGTTCGTCGTAATGGCCGTTGTTACGCACACGCAACGTTCCTCGACAATCTGTACGAGAATCGGCCAACGGTCGAATCAAGAGAACTTCCCGGTTTTCCTCCGCGATGCAAGCGCGATCTTGCAGATTCCTCGGCGAGAGGCGAGTCCCATCTCATACCGCGATCTCGCGTTCTTGAGTTTCTCGTCTTTCCTAATTGTTCTTTATTGAGATAGCGATCCCTCTGCTAATACTCGTACAACATTGCCTCCTACGTTAGGTCGTGAGCCAAAACGAAATCCTCGCGTTCTCGGCACACCGTGGAATCGCGTAGTTAATTAAACGCGCGACAGGCGTAAATTGTTTCACGTTACTGCGCCACCGTTGCGATCAAAGGGACGTTCCCGTGGGATTATCTCGAGAATAGGCAACATTTTCTGAACTCGAGGAGAGAGTTTGAATTTATCATGCAATTTCATATTATTACAAAAGCAACCGAACAAGTGAAATCTAACTAGAGATTTGCTTCGCGTGCTACTTCGATCGAGCAAAAATGGAATTCTTCGAGAGTGTGATCAAAAGATAACGTTGATATTCTATTAGTGAAGAGTTGAAAGTGTCTGAAAAATTTCTAATTGGTATTTTTCTGATTTTAAGCGCGAATATCCACGATTCAGTGACTACTACAGAGCGATCCCTCGTAAACTTCTTACGACAAATCTTCGAACGGACAGTTGAAACACCCGATGGTGTGTCTTTCATTTGAAAGACCATAGCCAAAGCGACGACTAGGTGCCGGCGAGAGATACGGTCTCGGCATAGTCCCGTGATTAAGGGCAAACAACAAGGCGCCTGCAGAACAGGTTTGCTCAACGACAACGTGGTTACC